ATAGAAAAAATAGCTGAAACCCATCTGCAAAGACATGTTTCAGTGGTTGGAATGCAATAGCTTAACTTGAACAAAATGTGTATAATTCATAACATTATGTCATCTTTTTGGCAGCCCAGCACTTTTATTCCTGCCAAAAAGGCAGAATAAACAAATGTGTGCTTATGATTGGTCTCCAATAATTAATATTGAAAGCAATGTGTGTTGCTGTCTTAATTTTAAGACAGTTCATATATGCATAGTGCATAGTTCATATATACAAATCTTTGATCTGGAATTTGTATCACTATCTAAACCCCATAGATTCCATGCTGCATCTTTTGCCAGGAGCCTAGTAGGGAGAAATTTCTGACTCAGTTATAGCCTTTTAAATTATTTCTGTGCATTCTATGCAAATTATGGTTAACCTGCACATTCTAAAAGATATGACAAGAAACCAATTTTGAGGGTGCTGATATTCTGAGCAACACAACCATTATGAGACAATATTTAAATCTACGTTCTGATCTTGGTTCTAGCTTACTGTATCTTATCTCAACAATATTTTGTTATCTTTTAGTCCATAAATCGTCATCATCATAACAGAATTCACAGAATAACAGAGTTGGAAGGGACCTTGGAGGTCTTCTAGTACAACACCCCAGCTCAAGGAGGAAACCCTATAAGATTCCAGACAAATGGTTGTACAATCTCTTCTTAAAAACCACATTTTCCTGCTTTCACCTGCCCAGATCTAATAGCCAATAGCTCTCTGTTCTGTTGTACAGAGAGCTACATTTGGTGGGCCCTAAGCAGTGGGAATTTTTGGCTCTGCTACCTGCATGTGGAATCCTCCCCAGAGATGAAGTCAGCATTATCACCTTTGAAGGTCCATAAAAACGGGTCATGCCAGCAGGCATGTAAACATCCATCTATCGTCTGTCTGTCTGTCTGTCTATCTATCATCTATCTATCTATCTATCTATCTATCTATCTATCTATCTATCTATCTATCTATCTATCTATCT